ATACAATTTTTTATTCTCAATTCTTCTTGAATTGATTTGATGTATGAAACATTTTCCTGGTTTTAACAAAAAATGTTAATAATTATAAAAGAAAAAAATGCTAAAATGCAAACAGTCATTAGAAGTTAATCTCTTTAACAAAATGACTTCTCAATCCATTTATTGAGTGCATTATCTTAAGTTTTTATTTAGTTTCTTCTATGGTTTTTGTTAGATGTCAGTTTCTTTTGGGCTGATTTTTATGTCCCTAATGAATGACACAATTTGTGGATGTTTGCATGTAGGAATATATTAGATGGATGTATATGCCTGTATTTATATACAGCGTGTGATGGATAAATTGTCGTCTAAATTATGCATAAATGAAAATAACACTGACATCTCATTTTAACAGACATATTTACCAAAATTGCACAAAAATATCTTGAAATACTAAACAGTAAATTTATTCAATAAAATCACCTCAACCATGGCCTCCAGACAACTTTGGAATCTCCTGCATTTCTTCTGGACGGTTTCCTTGTTTAAGTTGGGAAATGCTGCCATAATCCTTGCCTTCAGTTCATTTTGACTGTTACAAGGAGTTTTGTTGCTCTGTCACTAAACTGCATCCCACACATAATAATCAAGGAGTAGGTAGCCAGATGTAAAGGGTGATGTAGTCACAGAAATTGTCCGAAAGACATGATTGTATTCTTCTGCTTGTGTTGCACCCTGTACTTATGTGAAACAAACATAAATTTCACAAAGTATAATTATGTATTATAGCATGTTTTAAAGTGTGTTTGCAGGTATTGGTGTAAAATAATGACAGCATTTCAAAAAACATAAAAAAAACAAAAGTATTCTCAGTGTTTAAAAAAAAAAAACAAAAAAAAACTTGATCTAAGGTCATAATAAAAGAAATTACAGCCTAATGATCTGAAAAGTAAAAGTTTACTACATAGCAAGAAAATTAGCATACGGTTTCTCTTATCACAATCTTATATATATACACACAATATATATTAGGGGTGGACAAATTTGCTTAATATAAGGGCCACATATGATAAACTTCAGATGTTTCAGAACCAGAAGACATGAACAAAATTGATACATATGTGTTTCCTACATAAACATTAACATTACACTTATCTTTTCATCCAATGGGGTCTTAATTCATACCCAGTAAATAACTATAAAACTTGAAACTTTTCTTATTTACCTATTATAATAACTGATGAAAAGAAAAGAAAAAAAAGAGTTCAGCCAACATGTTTCCATGAGCAGCATATTAAAGATCAAAGAGATGCATGTAGCTCATGTGCTGTGGTTTGGCCACCCCTACTATACGTGGTGATTTTTCACTTCTTTGCAACAGACAATCTCTTCACTTGGTAGCTTTTTAGTGTTTTTCATTCAGAATTTTATTATTTCTATCATTTATATGTGAGCTAACACTCTGCTAATGCGCCTATAAGTGATTCTTTTACAACCTCTCTTAAACATCTGGCAAACATAAAGTCTCTCTGCATTTGAAACTTGCCTGTCCCCGTGTACAATCATGTGATTTTTGAATCCTGCAACAGACTTACAAACCTTGTCGCAAAACTCACGCAAGTAACCTGCTGGTCTTTCTGGTAGGGTTGCATTTACAGGACTTTGCACCTGACCTCTCTGGTGTGATCTCATGTGACTAGCTAAACCAGCAGCAAAGAGGGTGACTTTTCCACAAATACTGCAGGTGTGTTGGTGTTTTAATAGCTCTGAGATAGCTTCTTTTGTCCCTTCCTCATGGTGTGATTTTTGTTGGAATGCTCAATTCTCTTTTGTTCAAAATTCTTGCAGCATTCCCAAATCAACCTTCTCCAGACAGGTCCATCTCCAGCAACAGTTTCCCAGTCTTCAACATTAACACCAAGAGTCTTTAGGTTAAATTTAACTACATCCTTGATTGAGATATATATATATATATATATATATATATATATATATATATATATAATAAATAAATAAAATATATATAGCTAATATTAGTGGTAAATATATACATACATATGCAAAATATATAAATATATATACATAGGTGCATACACATACATGTATATTTTTTGAATAAAAAAATTCAAGAGGATAGAATCCAGGTAGAACTCAATGTCCAGGACAGAGTAAGGATATAATATAAAGGCTTAAACACTAATATTCCATGGTCATGATTTATTCCATACATGTTTAAGCCTTTTTATTTTATATATATATATATATATATATATATACACACACACACACTGATACAGGGTTGATGAATGGTTCTTGGCTCGACCCACTTTCCAAAATCTAATTAAAATGTAGAATTTGGGATGGGAGTTGTTTCTTGGTTGGACTGAGAACATTTCAACACATCCTCGTGTGTGTGGGTTCATTGCAGAATCTCTAATTTTGCTTTTAATCTGCCTAAAAAATGTTCATAAAAATAACTTCTGAAAAAGAAAACTGGATTCCTGCTATTCACATCAACATCTGATGATAAGAGAATGATAAGGCTATCAGCTTTGTTTTGTCAGATGTCAGCAGATACCTCCCCCACCACCACCAAAAAAAATGCATGGTATGATCCATCTTACAAGTTAATCACTGGTTACAAAATGTAGTTAAGTCTTAGACTTGTTTTAAAGGACTAGCAAATGAGCTTTTGAAAATTTTATTTTTTCTGTTATCTTTGTTCAAACAATTATTTTTCATTTTAAGTTGTTCATTCTGTAGTATGAGATTCATGATAGGAAATGCCAGCTGATTGTAATTTAATTTGGTGTCAATAAAGAACTTTTCTTCTGGGTGTGGTTGATTTTTGATCACCTTAAATGTTACCAAAATAAACTTTGCATTTAGTGTTACAACAGATCAACAGAGAAGCCAGGTGTATCAGTGGGTTGATTTTTAAAAGATGACCTCTTATTCACCATGTGCACATCTGCACATCACAAGATGTCAGTGGCTGCCCCTGACATGTAAACAAGTTGTCAACCCACCTGTGCTTAGGATGTGCACAGTTGCTGACAGGAAGATCTATAAGCACCTATCTGAAGGGGAAAAGGCAGAAAGTTTCTCATAGCCTTGTCAGAAAAAGATCCATGTTCAGAGAAAAACCCCAAAGTCACACATCCACTTGCTGATATTGATAAATCCTGGACTTAAATAATCAATAATTTTACATATGAGAGATTTAGTCTTGCATCCTTTTTAGTTTTCGCAACAATAACTTTACATTTAACTTTTGGTTACAAGATTGCATGGATAATTTGATCTTTGATCATTTCATAAATTTATTACTAAAATTATTTTATCATCATCTTTCATATTATAGCAAATTTCAGACTCAAAATTTAATTTTCTTACTAAAATATAAAATTTTAATTTGGCTGGGTTGTTGCCTGAAAAAGATGTTTTTTTCAATGTTCATCATCCTTCCAAAGCCTGAAAACTTTTCAAATGTTGCTGATATTTATTCCTAAAGTGATGTCCATTCAAAGCAAATGATCCAATCATTCATAAAAAAAAAATGTTGATTCTTCTTGATCAGCATTCATCCAAAGAGAAAAGACTTTTGACATAAAATGCATAATAAAGTTGAAATATTTCTACATTTCTGTTTACATATCTACAAAGATAAACGTCAGTTGATTTGCTCTGTTGAAATTTGTTTTTACTTTAATGTTAGTAACTTTATTCTTTGAGTTAAACACTTTTGGACATTTAGTTATTTCTATTATCATTTTTTTCAGGTAAAAATGTTGATGTATAGATTGGCAATAAATAGAATTTTTTTCTTTTCCTAGAAGCATTTGTATATAAAACCTTTCAAAAAGATGCCAAAAATGGTATTGCATTTTCATAAATATTGGTTTTAATGATTAAATTGGTTTTAAAATAGGAGTATTTTGTATGTTAAATAATAAAACTTTTAATTTTTTCTAAAATATCAATGAAACTTTATTATACTACGCTATGCACCCTAGTGAAACCAATTGTACTTTGTACCCCCTTACCTGTTTGTACTTCTCCCCCAAATTTAGTTTTGATCGGTCAATGTATGGCTATTTTAGAGGATGTGACAGATGGATGGACTAATGGATGTCGCAGAATTTTATATGTAGACTAGCAGTAGAGCCTGGCGTTGCTCGGGGATGTAACAGTAAGAGATAGATCAAGTATCGACCATCATAAAGACTGAAAAATAAAATTGACAATGATTATTGTTTAAGGTTGATGGACACGCATGTCTTAATTAGTTTTTTTTTTTTTTTTACAAATTGGTCAAACTCAAACAAAAACATTGTTTTCAATTGTTATGAGTCTACTGATTGAATAGAATTTTATTATAAATGTAAATGGAATTTTTAAAGCATTCTGAATGTAAAAATAAAGAAAAAATTGTGCAAGACAATAAGAAACACTACCTGCCAAAAAAAAAAGTGAAGTTTTGTTGAAATCGGTTGAAAAATGTAGGAAATCCGATCCCTTATATAAATGAACACACACACACAACCTGGGTTTTATAATAAGTATAACTCGATATGAGTTGTCCCCTTTTCATTCTCGCGATGCCTCTTAATCATGTTTTCAAATTGATTTTGTGCAAAAACAATTGTGTTTTTCCAATTTTTGACGCTGTCAGAACCACCGCAAGGTAATTTTATGTAGTCCTGTGAAGTTTTGTTGAAATCGGTTGAAAAATGTAGGAAATCCAATCCAATACATAAACGAACAGACACACACACACACACACACAACCTTGGTTTTATAATAAGTATGATTATGGCTGTAATATTACAAAATAGTGTATTTAACCATTTTCATAATTGATACATTGTTAAGAGGCAGGTGAAAAAGACTTTTGTGTCGACTGTGATCAAAGATAATAATAGCTAGATGATTACAATTATTTATGGTTCAAAGACATTAAACACATTTGAACTTAAATAGTGTTCAAAAGAATCAATAGAATTTTTTCTTATCTGGAGATGGTGGTCGGGAATGAAAAGAAAAATTATCTTACTGGCAAAGTTTGCATATGTAAGACAAAGAAAAGACCTGTCTTAGGCTTTATTTTATTGAGTAAAAATAGATTTGATTTCTTTTGAGCCTTATATGCATTTATCCCCACCCCTGCTCCAAATATTGCAGCTTATAATCTGTAATTATTGCCACTTGATTCAGATAAGATATAAAGGGTCAATGCACCCCAGCCACTACATTATATACACTGACATGCCAAAAGTCATGGGAAAGCAGTATGTAAAAGTAAATGATAGGTGACACTGTCATACCGTAACGTCATGGAAATGTCCAGATCTATGTCAGTGTGAACACCGGCTAAACTGCTCATAGCAAATGGACATGAATTATTGAAGTTCAAATGGGTCATCAGAATGTGCGCCAGATTGATGGGCAGATTTCTGGAATTGTAGGCAGGGTTAAAATCTCTCGTTATGTCTGGTGTTATATGTATACCAAGAATCCCTGTGGGATGAAATTGAAATAATAAAGAGAGAACATCACTGGAAAATACGAAAACTTAAGGAATCAGCGCATATGCTTGGTCACAAAAATCTCCTAAGCCGGCCAAGCGTAGGCATGAATACAATATGGGAACCAGTAATACAGTGAGCTAGAGAAAAACAACAATAACAAAAAAATGTAATATAAGCTCCTAAAAAATGTACTGAGACATTAGTTTTATAAGTTCCCCAAATTCACTGACTGATGTCCCCAAGGGTACATGGTCCAGTGGATATGGTTTCATATCTGTCTATATTTCTGAAATGATGTATTGTAATTATTTATACTATTTACATGTGTCCATGACCCAAAGATTAAAAGCGTAGGTTGAGTAATCAAAAAAAGTGACTTAACCAAAAGTTATGAGTTCAATACCTGGCCACACTAAAGGGAATTAACTAAGACTGACATATCCCAAAAAGTATGGCATGTAGAATTAGAACAATTTATCCCTGTGGACTTTGGTTTGAAATTCCAGCATATATATCACCTGAAGATGACTGGAGCATACAATGGCCAAAATGTTGTGAATATGGCAATAAAAATGAGGACAACAGTCTGAATGATTTAAATGGTTACAATACCTCATTTCAGAAATATAGACAAAAATTAATCAGTCTTTCCTTTTGGTGATTACGAAAACATTTAAAATATTAAAAAAAGATTTTTTTTGTTAATCTAATATTTCTTTTGAGTATTTTCTTGAAAGTTATTTTCATTTTCAACAGTCTATCTATCTAGCTCTTTCTTTTCATATCTATTGATCTCTTTCATATCTTTCTATCTCTTTATCTCTTTCTTTCACGTCTATCTCTTTCTTTCATGTCTGTCTCTTTATCTCTCTCTCTCTCATGTCTGTGTCTGTATCTCTCTCTCACGTCTATCTCTCTCATGTCTGTCTAGCTAGCTCTCTCTCTCTCTCATGTCTCTCAAGCTATCTCTTTCATAACTCTCTCTTTCATTTCATGAATCTTTGTTCTCTTATTTGTGTATCACAGTCAATTTGTTGTTTTTCAATAAGTTCCATTCTGTTAGAAAATTCTTTTTTTCAATCCCAATGTGCTAATTTGTCAATCTACCTTTCTATCTGTTCTTGATACTGAAAAATTCTTGGCCTGATCTATTTTCTAAGCATTATTTTCTCACTGTAGCTGGAAATAATCTTTTATTTTCTATTTTTAATGCACCAATTTACAGGATCCGTACACTTATTTTTTCTAATTTGTTTCCAATCGGTTAACTGAACCATGTCAACAGAAATGTGTAGAATATTGAATTCCAGGCTGTAGAAGAAAACTCCAAAATGAAATCCATGTGCACATGATGTAAATATTGGGTGACATGTGTCTTTCATATGCAAATGTGACATAATTTTAGTTGATCATCAAATCTCAACCAGAAAAATTGTTGTGGCACCAGAGGTATCTAGGGAATTCCCTGGGTTTATAATCCATGAGCAGTTGGGTATATAGAAGTTGTCAGATGAGTGGTGAGCCAAATGTTTGAATGCCAGTCAGAAACAATATTGAGTGAACACGCCTTCAAGTTGATTTGACAGTAATCATGTGAAATTTTTTGGAAAGATTTGTCAATATTTATGAAACATGAATATGCCATAATCCAAAGATAAAATAAATTCAAGGCCCAAAAATCAGCAGGAAAGGTCATGGCTATATTGTTATGGAATGAAGAATGTATTTTGATAACTATCATTAGAAGGTTCAAACAGTTAATGCAAAATACTATAACCTGTTTCGATTAATGGAACATTGAAATTAAAATGGCAAGGGAGCCATGGAAAGGTTGTTTTTTTTGTTTTTTACAGGGCAATACACCTGCTGACAGAACTGGCAAGACATTGGATTTTTGAAGAATTTAGGATCTGAGTGTATAGATCATTGACCCTACTATTCAGATCTTGTTCCTTTTTGACTCTTTTCTGTTTTTAAACAAGGATTTTGAAAGTGAGGAAAATTTGGAATGATTTGGAGCAGCACAGCAGTATTACAATGGCCAAACATGAAGATTTCTTGAGAAAGGGTTAAAGAAGAAACCTGTGAAAATAATGATGTGTTGAACCATGGGGGTGAATAGCTGAAATAGCGTGTATCTATGTGTGTGTTTCCTGGCTCTTGATCATCCTCTTTGTTGGACAAATCATTTTTTAACACTTTTTCTATAAATATTATTTTTTCTTTTCTAAATATTCATTTGTATTTGGCTTAAAGCAGAATTTGATACAGAGATAATGAAGAAACATGTTTATAAGTTGATAAAAAAATAAGTTATTAAAAGAATAGAGTCTAATAAATAACGATAGATTCTGACAAAAATGCTTCTTTGCTCTCTGAATGATAATGAATTTTGGTTTTCTGTTCAGCTTCATACTGAATCTTTGCTTATATATCTAACATCTGTATTATTTTCCTTCTGATGGTATTTGGTATGCAAGCAGATAATTTATGTGAAATGTACTTTTGTAACATGATGATTCCTTTGTCAAGTTAAGGCATATATACTTGGCATTAAATCTTTTTCTTTAAGATTTTTATTTAATATAGGCATAAATAAGAAATATTGGAGTGTGACTTATTACTAGACAACATAATTAGTATAAATCTTATTAATACAGACCTTACAAAATCAGTTTGTTAGGGAAAAGAAATGGTGAATATTGTTAAAATGAAGAAGAAAGTAAAGGAAAAGTTTTCAAATTTGGAACAATATTAATAGATGTGAATACAAACTTCTTATCTCTCTCTCATACATATATATATATATATATATATATATATATATATATATGAGTTTAGCCTAAGATAGAGGCAGGCGAAAATTGCCCTGGTGGACCCCTTAAAAATGACGGCACCATGGCAATGACTAACAATAACAAATTAGTTTATTTTTTTTTAGAATTTGTAAAATTTGTTTTTTATATGTAAAAAGTAATATTAATGTAAAATCTTTAAAAATTGATAAAAATAAACAAAAAGCTCTAAAATCAAATATTCTTATTGACAAATGACATAGATTATTATGACAAGAATTATTAAGAACAAGTTTAAAATCCACCATATCAGGCAACATATAAGCTAGCTCTTGCAGAGGTTGCTTGATTCGGCCTTCATTATAATAGGTAGAGAGGTGTAGACGTGAAAGGCAACAATAAACTGCAGAAGTCAAAATTGATTGCTGCATTTCAGTATTGCATTATTATTTATAATTACCTTTTAAAAGTTCAATGATAATTCTTAATCCACTTAATGTGCCATTATGTTTCAATTAAATTTGTTATCATAGGTTTTGAATATATCTATATCTATCTATCTATCTATCTATCTCTCTCTCTATATATATATATATTAAGAAATGGACAAAGTCCGACAATTTATTTATTAAAGGCATTTTTATGTTTAACGTTCTTTTTTATAGATACAAGTATTTAAGTAAATGCTCTGTTTATAATAAACAGTATTAAATAACATTTACCGGCCTGAATGTCCGAGAAATTTTCATAGAAAATATTCGTCCTTTGACAGGATTCGAACCTGCATCCTTTATGGAAGATTGAAGTTTATAAGCAGTAAATTAAATTTCTTGCCAACCTAATGATCCTTTGTGGCTGAGAGGTTAGGCACGTCAGCGTAAATGACGGTTCCGTATAGATGCAGGTTCAATCTTGTCAAAGACGAATATTTTCTATGAAAATTTCTCGACATTCAGGCCAGTAAATGTTATTTAATACTGTTTATTATAAACAGAGCATTTACTTAAATACTTGTATCTATAAAAAAGAACGTTAAACATAAAAAAATGTCTTTAATAAATATATATATATATATATATATATATATATATATATATATATAATTAATTTAAAAGCCACCCTATCGGGCGGCATTTAAGCTAGCTCCTGTGGTGGGATCTTGATTGGGCCTTCATCACAATAAGTAGGGAGGAGTAGATGTGATTGGCAGTAGTAAGCTACAGAAGATTGATCGCTGCATTTAAGTATTGTATTAATACTTGAGCTTACCTTTTTAAAAGTTCAATGATAATTCTTCTGCCACCACTTAATTTAAAGACAATTTGATGTAGGTCCTTACTTTCCGTACAAACAATTATTTTTATTTCATGGGTGACTTTTGCTGAATTTTGCAATTAATTTTGATTATTCCCACATTATAAAAATTGTTATCATACAAAAAGATTTGTCGCAAAAAATCACATACAAAAATCGCAGAAAACAATTGCAGTAATGAAAGCTTGGTAATCTAAAATTTCAGTATTGTAGGTCTGTATCTGGCCCGGAATGTTTATAGTTTCCTCATGGATTCAGCCTGATTCTAAAATGGTATATGTTCGGCTACGGTCTTTGGAAGTAAAGTTGAAAAAGTGTGACACATCATCATCATCATCTTCTGTATAATAAATGCTAATATTTATTATACAGAAGATGATGATGATGATGAGCTATTGAAAGTGAAAAAGTTGTGTCCCTTTAATTGAAAATTTATGAGATAAAAATAAAGCAAAAAAAATAATAATATTGATAATTAGATTAAAAATATTAATTGTATATTAGTAGGCGTTTTGACTGAATAGAAACGTGATGAGAAAAGATGTTAAAAATTGGAATTTTCTGACATGCTTGTGACCTTTCCCAACAAGAAATAAAAAATGAAGTAGGACTTTTTAAGGGATAATTTGATTTTTCTCTACATGTGTTATATTACAGATGAAATCTAGTAGTTTTGAGCTAGTTGTTTGCCACAATTAGTGTTGTAGAGGGTTTGTAGTTGGCTTTTTGTGGAAACTGTATTCATTGGGTCTGCCTAAATTCCTATTAAACTAATGCAGAATTTTAAACGATTTATAATAATTTTATATTATAAATTAAAATTTTAGAAAATGAAAACAATTCTTGTAAGAATTCATCAAACTTTTTTTTTCTTAAATCTTATTTATAAAAACAATTAAAACTTTTCTAATTTAATAATATCCTACTTTTATTGCATTTTTTTTTAATTTTACAATTCAGAACAGATTTTTGGTGACTTATAAAAAAAAATGATGATTTACATTTTTCAATGAGTCCTACTTTTAACTTATAAAAGAAATTTATCAAGATTTCCTTAAAAAAAAAAAAAAAAAAAAAAAATTAAAATTCATTCATTTGTGTATGAGTCCTGAAAGTTTCATTAAAATTTGTCAATTATTTGATTTTTGCAAGAATTTCCAAATCATTGTGTTTTTCACTGGAAAAAACCCCGCAAGAACACTATATATATTTGTATTTAATGGGTGCAAAATATGATTCTGTTATCAGGATAGCCTTTTATAATTACTGATTTCCGGATCAGCCATTTACAAGCTCTGAAGACAGTGCTTTAAAAAATACAAAGGAATTTTATAGATAGAAAATTAAATTTTTCTTAATAAGCCATTAATTATAAATTGATTTCTTTAAATCTATATCGATTGTTAATCACTTGAAAAATTGATAAATTATCTGATTTTCATATGGAGACATGTTCTTTTTTCCCTCAATGTAATTTATTAATTTCTGTTTAGTTTTTCTAATTTTTTTTCAATTTTAATAATTTTTCATGTCCTATTTAGATGCTAAAAGATTAAGAAACTGGAAAATGTTTACATATTTTGTAAACCCCAAGCTCAGATCAGAAGTCTAAATTTTATTGATCATTTGAACATACTCATTGTATTGTGTGTCATGTGACTATTCACTGAATTATCCTCCTTGTATATATACTGCTAAGCCAAAACATGATTACTTGCCTAATAAGGTTTTGATCCTCTATCTTTTTTTAAAAAAATATTTTTATCTGATTAGCTATGAACACAACAAAGGTTTCCTCTGTGATCTGGTGTCAGGATGTTAATAGGAGGTTATGTAACTGCTGCAGCATATCCCATAAGTCCCAATGAGACTGAGATTTGGACGGGCAGTTTAGTAGCCAGGGTGAAGTCTTGTTCCTGTTCTTGAACTGTTTTTGTCTTGCTGAATGAGGCTATTATACAAGACTATTGCCATGATGAGATGTACCTGGTCTGCAATGATGATGAAGTACATGACAAAGTGACTTCCACATGAATGTAGGTACCCAGTGTTTTTCAGCAGAATAATGCTTAAGCCAACCCACTACTTTGACCATCTTCTAATTTTCTTCTGGTATATGTGTCTTCACTTCTTACAGATAACAATGCGTGCATATCTTGCCTCCTACTCTATCTAGAAATGATACAAAGTTCAGTTTCACTGCTTACATGCCTGTTGAATATATTTGATGTACTGTATATTGTGGCACAGACCTTCCTTCTCTTTGATTAAAAGTATTTGTAATTTGTGCCTTAGTAGTCCTTTTGTTGGTCCATACTTGGTAGGAAATGAAGCCTTCATTTATTTCTCATATTGATAAGTTTTGATTGTTTCAATGCCTACTTGATGATTTTTCCCTCTTTGTACCACTGCTAGTAAGTACTCAACACAACTGAGGGTGGGCAACCCACAAGATGTACTGTTTTGAAGATGCTATGATCTAGTCTTCTGCCATAACAATTTCACTGTTATCAAAGTCACTCAAATCCTTTCTTCTGCTCATAACCGTGATCTTCAATAGAGGCGATATAAGCAGATTTAAAAAATGGTATATACAATATGATAAACAACACTCAAGTTCTGTCTATATCTGAGATGAGGTACTATGATTATTTACATTATCGCCCAGGGGATACAGACGTTGGTTAGATCCAGTGACTAGACCCAAAGAATTGTGAATTCAATACCAGGCTACATTAGTGGTGAACCAAAATACTTGGAGTGTTGAGTTAAAGGGAAATAACTGAGACATCCGGAAGAGGCATGGCATGTGGAACTAAAACAATCTACCCTGATGGATAAAATAAAGGGTTTGGTTCGAAATTTCAATCACCTGAAGAAGGCAAGAGTGTACAACGGCTGAAATGTTGTGAACATGGCAATGAAGACGAGGATAACAGTCTGAATAATGTAAATTATGTAAACACTCAAGTTGCATTTATATGGCACTGAATGCTGGATAATCTTTTCACATATGAAGAAGAAACAGAAATGTTCTACAGAAGGATAAGATCCTTCCTTTTTGTTTCTCCTTACACTCTGCTTTGCCGTGTAGATATATGATATATTTTTCTCCACATGGGATATATATATATATATATATATATATTAGTAGTATAAAAGTCTCTCGGATAATGAAGTATGTTTGTCATTCCTTTTCCTTTTCAGCCATTCTGTTCTGTCCAATAACTGTGGTGTTATTATATCACTGATATAATAATGCCCATAATGGGGGAAATATAAATGGTGAGAATAAATCTTTCTTCCATTACAATGTTATGAAGATGTTCACTTTGTACACTATCTTAAACAGAATATTTGCAAGGAAATGCCCATCAGCACTAAAAAGAGCGATAACAGTTACAGGACTTGGAGGATTTAATTAAAAAACTGTTTTAAGAAATATGTTTTATAAATTTTAACTTTATAGCCATGCTAAGTGTTCAGTTAACAAATGCCGAATGTTTCCTCACATGGAAACTGCTGATTTTACTATTACCCCACCTCTCAGAAAGAAAAAAAATGTTGAGAAAACATTTGTCATTTGAACTGACATTGACTTATACCCTCTTTTGATGAGCACAATGTCAAAGTTGGATCATTGTCAAGAGGCTTGGCGTGTTTACTTGATGGGCTTATTTTGTTCAGCAGACAAAAACTAAGCGTCTCAGTTGAGATTTGCACTTTTGTTTTTGTTGAATAGGCTGAAAAAAAAGAAAAGAAGTCATTGCAAAATGGCTGTATAAACCACATAGTGACTCATATCACTAATTTATTTCTTTGGTGTACAAACCCAAATAAATGAACACAAGTACAAAAAACAGGATATAAGAAATAGAGAACGACCACAAACAGGAATTAATGTACCAATTAACTGGATGAGGAGTTAGTGGTGTGTTGCACAACGACGAGAGAATTTGTCATAGTCAATGGTCAGCAGGCAAAAGAGAATAATTATCTGAACCT